TCAAATTATGTTTTTATTTTAATAGTGGTCGAGATTTATCATTATTTAGTAGAGTTGACCGAGATCCCGAAACTGGAACTGTTTGGTTTACCAACACATCAGTAATCGATCCAACTATTCCAGAGACTAAAAATATGTACGAGCAAATTTAATAACAGCTGGATGGATATTGAAACCTAATTTTAATTCTTCAAAATCAATCGAATCAGTTAATGTCGTTTATTTAGTTGATATTGATATTAAACTTGACACAGTTCCATCATCAATTCTCAAATCAATCAATCTTCAAACTCCATTATGTGTTCAAAAAGTTAATGAAATTATGCATAAACATGGATTTCCACCATTTGTATCAAGAATAGAATCAATAAAGTTAATCAATAGTGAATTGGATATCAAAACTTTTCAATCCAATTTCACCTTTAAATCTAGTAAAGAAGAAGGAATTATTGAAATTCATACATCCAAGATTATGTATCCAAATGGATTTGATATCACTATTATATCTCAAAATGTTAAAGTAGAATTTGTTCCTAATTATCCAGAATTAATTAGAATTACAAAATTTGAATCAAATCTAATAGATGAAATTAAAGTTCAAATTACAAAGTATACATCAGGGAGAACAAGAATAACATATAACGGAGATAATAAGATTCCAGTAGCAAGTGCTTCACCTCTTAAAAAAATTAATAAAGTAATAGAAAATTCAACATCTAAAACTAAATTAATTGACCAAAAAACTACTACTCCCCAGAATACCCTTAAGAGTACTACTCCCCAGAATACTATTAAGAGTATTACTCCCCTGACTACTCCCCAGAATACTATTAAGAGTATTACTCCCCAGACTACTCCTCAGAATACTCTTAAGAGAACTACTCCTCAGAATACTTTTAAGAGAACTACTCCTCAGAATACTCTTAAGAGTACTACTCGCCAGAATACTCTTAAGTCTATTCCCGTTAATGATAGTAACCAAATTAATATTCGACATGTAATACAAG